ACCCAGCAGCTAGAGTGTCTCTGCAAGAAAGATAGAATTTAGAAGAAAGTGAAAAAAAAAAAAAACAGGCAGACAAACATAGATTGGATGAGAGTCGGAAGGAAGGGTGCCTGAAATTACAAGAGACTCCATAGGAAGAAATTGCTCAGGAGGACTGGAAGGAGAAAGGCCACTGAGAGGCTTGGAGACCAGTGACAGCGTGGGTGGTACAGTCAAATTTCTCCTGCCTTGCATCTTGGACTTATAGTGGGCTCCTGAGCTGCTGGAGAGACCTGCTAACACCAGCCCAGAGATGGCTGCTGCCAATGAGCATCGAGACTCTTGCAAATAGGACACAAGGTAAATTCCTATTACTTTAACTTAAGTTTGTTATAAGTTTGGGATGCTAATTGTAATCTCATTGTAACCACTAAGAAAATATCTAAAAGTATATATACAAAAGGAAACTAAAAGATAATAAAAATGAGTACTGTGATAAATCAATGCACAAAAATGCAGTAATCATGGAAATGAGAAGCTTAATAAGTATAAGATTTACAGAAAAAATGAAAAATGACAGATGTCCTTTCTTCTCAGTAATTACATTAAATATAAACAAATTAGATTATCCAATCAAAAGGTAGATTGGTAGAGTGAATTAAAAAATACTTAACTATATGATATTTACAAGACACTCAGTCACAAAAAGTTTGGAAGTGAATGAATGGAAGAATATTCTCCATGCAAATAGTAACCAATTTATATCCATGAATGCCTACATCCAAAAGACAGAAAGATCACAAATAGATAATGAACAAATGAATCATCTCAAAGAACTGGAAAAGGATGAGCCAACTGACCCCAAACCCAGCAGACGAAAAGAAATAATAAAGACCAGAGCAGAACTAAACGAAATTGATAACAAAATACTATACAGAAGATAAATAAAATAAAAAGTTGGTTCTTAGAAAAAATAAACAAAATTGACACACCTTTTGCTAAATTAATGAAAAGCAGGAAGGACTCTAATAAGCTCCATCAGGAATGAAAAAGGAGAAATTACAACTGATGCCATGGAAATACAAAATATCATCTATGAATACTATAAAAACCTCTATGCACATAATCTTGAAAATGTACAGGAAATGGACAAATTCTTAGAAACATACAGCCTCCATAGGCTCAATCAGGAAGAAATAGAATTCCTGAACAGACCAATATCAAGTGCCAAAATTGTAGCAGGAATAAAATATCTTCCTAAAAAGAAAAGTCCCGGACCATATGGTTTCACACCTGAATTTTACCAGACCTACAGAGAAGAAATGGTACTTATCCTGCAGGAATTATTCCAAAACATTGAGAAGGATGGAATCCTCCTGAACACATTTTATGAAGCAAACATCACTCTGATACCAAAACCAGGAAAGGATGCAACAAAAGAAGAAAACTACAGATCAATATCCCTTATGAATATAGATGCAAAAATTCTCAACAAAATCCTAGCAAACCAAATTCAGGTGCTTATCAAAAACATAAGCCATCAAGATCAAGTGGGCTTCAACCCAGAGATGCAGGGTTGGTTTAACATACACAAGTCTATAAATGTAATTCACCACATAAATAGAAACAAAACAAAGACCATCTGATCCTCTCAATAGATGCATAAAAAGCATCTGACAATATTCAGCACCCTTTTATGATAAGAATGCTTAACAAAATAGACATAGATGGCACTTACTTAAAATTATACAAGACATATATGACAAACCCACAGCCAACATCATATTGAACACGGAAAAATTGAACTGGAAACAGACAAGATTGCCCTCTATCACTGCTTCTATTTAACATACTGCTAGAACTCCTAGCTGGAGCAATCAGACAAGAGAAGAAAATCAGAGGCATCAAAGGGGGTCTGATCAAACTAAAAAGCTTCTGCACAGCCAAAGAAACAGTCATGAAAGCAAATAGGCAACCTACAGAATGGGAGAAAATTTTTGCATCCTACACATCTGATAAGGGGCTGATAACTAGAATCTACTTAGAACTCATGAAAATCAGCAAGAAAAAAAATCAAACAACCCTATCAAAAAGTGGGCAAAGGACATCAACAGAAACTTTTCAAAAGAAGACAGAATAATGGCTAACAAACATATGAAAAAATGATCAACATCTCTAATCATCAGGGAAATGCAAATCAAAACCGCAATGAGATATTACTTATCTCCACTAAGAATGGCTTTTATCAAAAAGTCCCAAAACAATAGATGTTGGCATGGATGTGGAGAGATAGGAACACTCCTACACTATTGGTGGGACTGCAAACTAGTTCAACCTCTGTGGAAAGCAATATGAAGATACCTTAAAGTGCTACAGGTAGATCTGTCATTTGATCCAGCAATTCCACTACTGGGCATCTACCCAAAAGATCAAATGACACTCTATAAAAAGAACACCTGCACTCAAATGTTTATAGCAGCACAATTCACAATTGCAAAGTTGTGGAAACAACCCAACAGCCCATCAATTCATGAGTGGATTAATAAAATGTGGTATATGTATGCCATGGAGTACTATTCAGCTTTAAGAAACAATGATGATATAGCACATTTTGTATTTTCCTGGATAGAGCTGGAACCCATACTACTAAGTGAGGTATCCCAAGAATGGAAAAACAAGCACCACATATACTCACCAGCAAATTGCTATTAACTGATCAGCACCTAAGTGGACTCATAGGAATTACATTTATTGGGTATTGGGCAGGTGGGAGGGGGGAAGAGGGAGTGGCTATATACATACATAATGAGTGAGATGTGTACTGTCTGTGGAATGGACACGATTGAAGCTCAGACTTGTGGGGGAGAAGGGGCAAGGGCATTATTCGAAACCTTAAAATTTGTACCCCCATAATATGCTGAAATAAAAAAAAAACAAAGGTGAGCAGAAGAGGTCAAACTACCAGTCTTTGATGATGATATGATCTTATATCTAGAAAACTTCAAAGATTCTGCCATGAGACTACTGTAATTGATAAATAAATTGAGCAAAGTCTCAGGTTGCAAAATCAATGTACACAAATCAGTAGCATTCCTATACACCAACAAGAGTCAAACTGAGAACCAAATCAAACACTCACTACCCTTCACAATAGCAACAAAGAAAATAAAATAACCAGGAATATATTTAACTAGGAAGCAAAAGACCTCTCCAGGGAGAACTACTAAATACTGAGGAAGGAAATAGCAGAGGACATAAACAGGTGGAAATCCATACCATGCTCATGGGTCAGCAGAATCAACATTGTTAAAATATCTATACTACCCAAAGTAATCTACATGATTCAATGCAACCCCTGTTAAAACACCAACATCATTTTTCACAGATCTAGAGAAAATAATTCTACCCCTCCCATGAAACCAGAGATGACCCCATATAGCCAAAGCAATTTTGTGCAAAAAGAAAAAAATTAGGAGGCATCAATTTTCCAAAGTTCAGGCTATACTACAAGGCTATAGTAGCTAAAACAGCATGGTACAGGCACAAGAATAGAGACATAGACCAATGGAACAGAACTGAGAACCCAGATATAAAACCATCCTCCCCATACAGCTATCTAAGCTTTCACAAAACAGACAAGAACATACACTGAGGAAAAGAATTCTTATTCAATAAATGGTGCTGGGGAAATTGGATAGCCACATGTAGAAGACTGAAACAGGATCTGCATGTTTCACCTCTCACAAAAATCAACTGATGGAGGATAAAAGACTTAAACCTAAAGCATGAAACTATAGGAATTCCAGAAGAAAATGTAGGAAAAACTCTTATAGACATTGGCCTAGCCAAAGAATTTATGAAGAAGACCCCAAAGGCAATTACAGAAACAACAAACACAAATAAATGGGACCTGATCAAATTAAAAAGCTTCTGCACTGCCAAGGAAACTATCACGAGAACAATCAGACAGCTTATAGAATGGGAGAAAATATTTGCATGTTACACATCTGATAAAGTGCTGATAATTAGAATCTATATAGAACTCAGGAAAATCCACACAAAAAAATCCAACAACTCTATCAAAAACTGGTAAAGGATATGAACAGAAACTTTTCAAAAGAAGATAAACTAATGGCCAAGAATCATATGAAAAAATACTCAACATCTCTAATCATCAGGGAAATGCAAATCAAAACCACAATGAGATATCACTTATCTCCTTTGAGAATGGCTTTTATCAAACAGCCCTAAGATAATAAATGTTGGCATGGATGCAGAGAGATAGGAACACTCCTACACTGCTAGTGGGACTGCAAACTAGTGCAACCTCTGTGGAAAGTAATATGGAGGTACCTCAAGAGCTACAAGTAGAACTACCATTTGATCCAGGAATCCCCTTACTGGGCATCTACCCAAAAGAACAAAAGACATTCTATAAAAAAGACATCTGCACTCAAATGTTTATAGCAGCACAATTCATAATTGCAAAGATGTGGAAACAACTCAAGTGCCCATCAATACATGAGTGGATTAACAAAATATGGTATAAGTATACCATGGACTTCACCTCAGTGAGCAAAAACAATGGTGATCTAGAACCTCTTGTATTATCCTGGATAGAGTTGGAACCCATTCTACTAACTGAAGGATCCTAAGAATGGTAAAACAAGTACCACATGTCCTCACCGTCAAATTGGTATTAACTGATCAACACTTAAGGGCACATATAGTAATAACATTCATCGAGTGTCACGCAGAGGGGGGAGAGGGGAGGGAGGAAAGATATATTCACATCTAATGGGTGAGGTATGTACCGTCTGGGGGATAGACATGCTTGAAGCTATGACTCAGGTAGGACAAAGGCAATATATGTAACCTAAACATTTGTATCCCCATAATATGGTGAAATAAAAAGCAAAAATAATTGATGTTCAATGGTATTAAGCTTTAAATTTAAAAATTTGTTACTTTTCACTTTCATGAATATTGTTTTACATTTTATTAATTTTATTATGTGTATATCTAGATTACTAAGTATGTGCACACATTAATGCATATTAATTGAGTCAAGGAATAAATACATACATACAAATATAATTATGAATACATAGATACATCTCAATAAACAGCATATTCATTATGGAGATATTTTTCTTCTTAAAAGTTTTACCAGTGCTTTTTTCACTTCCTTGTTCCTCAGACTGTATATCAGGGGATTCAACATGGGAATCACAGTGGTGTAAAATACTGAGGACACTTTCTCCTGGATGAGTGAACTTCCGGAAGCAGGTTTGAGATACATGGACATTAGAGACCCATAAAATATAAGAACAGCTGTCAGGTGGGAGCTGCAGGTGCTAAAGGCTTTGGACCTGCCCTCTTTCGAGTGGATGCGGAGGATACTGGTGAGGATAAAAGCATATGAAATGATGACTGTTAGGCTGGTGGCTACCATGTTAAATCCACCAATGACAAAAATCAAAAGCTCATCAATATAAGTGCTGGAACAGGAGAGTGTAATAAGAGGGACGATGTCACAGAAATAATGTTTAATGATGTTTGATCCACAGAAAGACAACCTTAATATACAACCTACATGGATCACAGCATCGGTGAAACCTACTGAGAAGACAGCAGCCACAAGCAGGGAACAGACCCTGGGGGACATAATGACATTATAGAGCAGTGGGCTGCAGATGGCCACATAGCGATCGTAAGCCATGGCTGCCAACATGTAGCACTCAGAAATGACAAAAACACAGAAAAAAAAAAGCTGAGTCATGCATCCAGAATAAGAGATAGATTTAACTCTGCGTAAAAACCCTGACAGCATTTGGGGGGTAATGACAGAGGAATAGCAGAAATCTAAGAACGACAGACTACTGAGGAGGTAGTACATGGAGGTGTGAAGGTGAGGACTCAGCCTAATTATGGAGATCATGCCGAGGTTTCCCGTCATGGTAACGATATAAATCCCTAAGAAGAGCCAGAAAAGGGGTAGCTGAAGCTCTGGTTGCTCAGTTAATCCTGAAAGAAGAAACTCAGTCACCGTGGAATGATTTCTTATTCCCATTTTCCTCTGAGAAACCTGTAGAGAAGAGAGAGAGAGAGAGAGAGAGAGAGAGTTAAATTAGACTGCAGGATGCCAGTGTGCCTCTAATTCCTCATAGCCCAGGTATTTGTAGCTATGAAAAACACTGATCTTGTGTTATGTATACCAAAATGCCAGCACTCAGACAAAGTGAAGTCAGTAAGCATCTACCTACCCACGGATTTTAGGAATCATAAATGCACTTCTCCATTCTCCTCCATTGTCTCAAATTCTTTTAGCAAAGGTCAAAACCTTTCACTCCAGACTTAGAGATTAGCGCTAAACACTGTGGGGGAGGTTTTCTAAAGCAAATCAGTTAATGAGGTGCATAAACAAGATGCTGGGGCTGTGAAAATACTTTCGCTAATGATGCGTTTGCCCAGGGCTGACTCTGCCTCCAAAATTTCCTATTCAGAAGGAAGGTATCGTTGTTAAGGTCAATGATTATTTTCTACAACAAGATTTCCAAGGATGTTCAGCAGAATATTAACTCTAGAGAGATGTTAAAAGGCATTACATGAAATAAGTGGCCAAGGATCATATGATTTCAGACATGCTGAGTCACACAGAGTTAAACAGTTTCCTTAACTGAAGGATGTTCTCCTACAGGACTACATAACATACAATATTTACCAAACTTATTTGATGATAGATAAACTGCACACTTGTTTTTAAAACATATTGTAGCACTAGTGTGATGCAGAACATAATTCAGGACTATATTTTCATTTGTGTGTTTGTTCTACTTTTTATCTAACCATAAGTTGATTTCCAAGGGGGGGGAAGTTTCTTCTTTTTACACTCCAGTAAAGCTGGTAGAATGGCAGGTCTGCCAAAACTGTTTCTGTCTTCTGAATCTCTGGTCATCTTCTGGACCAAGCCTGCCTCTCTCACCAAGCTTAATACAAAATAATAATGCACCTGTGCTGCCACTATTGGCAATGCCACAACCCAGATGTTTGCGTTTCTCCACTTCCTGTCTTACACCCACCCCTCTCCTCAGGAGGGAGCAAAGACTGCATACATCCTGGGGTTGCGTGTTCTGGGGCCAACTATAGCCTTGTCTCTGAGAAAGTTGACCATTTTCTTTTTTTTTCAGTGTTGGGCTACTCACAAAGCCCTCTCCAGACTCTCATGTTTGCCCAGAGATTATATGGAGCCCCGGTCAGATGTCTGGGTTAGCATTTTCTCACCCTGTTCAGTCCAGAATCTGCCTCTCTCTTCTTGGCTCTTTAAGAACTTATTTATGTAGGCCGGGTGCGGTGTCTCACAATTATAATCCTAGTACTTTGGAAGGTTGAGGCAAGATGATCACTTGAGGCCAGCAGTTAGAGACCAGCCTGAGCAAGAGCAAGACCCTGTCTCTAAAAAATATAGAAAAATTAGTCAGGCGTGGTGGCACCTGCCTGTAGTCCCAGCTACTTGGGAGGCTGAGGCAGGAGGATTGCTCGATCCCAGGAGTTTGAGGTTGCAGTGATCTAAGATGATGTCACTGCATTCTAGCCTGGGTGACAGAACAAGACCTTGTCTCAAAAACAGCAGCAACAACAAGAACTTGTTTATGTCTTCTTGTTTCTAATATATTACTGCCATATGAGGACAAGGCACACATCCTTTGATAGCTTGAGTTCCCAGAAGGCAGATGACTCTGTCTTATTTCCCAAATCCTTCTCACAGTTTGAAATAAAGAAACTGCATGACATTGGACAGCTGTTCTCTGAGCAGGTTTCCAAATTCTATAGAATACATGTCTCTTGTATCTTCTCTTCTTCTCTCATCCTAAGAGATGAATATGGGGAATCATATGCAGAACAGCGAGTGTCCAGTCGCCCCTTGCCTGTTACTAAAATACCCTGGCGTCTTCCTTTCCCATCATACCTCACCAATTGTCATACACAAGTGTAGTCTAGTTGCAGAGATTACAGAAAGAGAAATATCAAATTAATATTCAAGGAAACTCATAGGCTTGATTTTTGCCTTTAATATCATGGGGTTTTTAAATACATGCTTTATTTTGTCCTGACTGTCCTTACAAACATACCGACCACTCTCAACACGTATCTAATTCTCATGCATCTCCCCTAATTCCTGCCGGTTCTCCATCAAAGTAAAATGTCTCCCATCTGCCTATGTTCCTTGTTTTATTCCAGTGTCCTGCATCCTTCTTCCCTCTACTCAAACCCATTAGGTTCCTATTTCTTATATTCTCACTTCCTAAAACATTTCTGTGCTCAAGGCTCTTGATACTCAATGTATCAAGATGACCAGTAACATCAACATCACTCCAGGACTTGTTAGAAACACACAACCTCAGGTACACCCTCATGCCTGCTGAACGAGGAACTACATTTTAACAAGATCCCTACATGATTTGTGGGTGCATTAAAGTCTGGGGCCACTATTTTATGTTACCTCTCCTAGATCTGGATGGATTCTTTCTTGTTTCCTCCTCTCAACCTCTCCTGCTCCTTTCCGTGCTGGAAAGCCTTATGATCATGTGAAGCCCATCTTTGAAAACATCTCAAGTAAAGCCTCTATCTCTATCCTCTATTCTCAGGTAAAGAATAGAAACTGTACAATTTAACATTTCAGTATTTTGCCACTTATATGTGAACTTAGAGATCTCATGGAAGTGTAACATGCATGTCAAATAGCTTATTAAAACAAATTGTATTCTGTTCTTGTGTTTGTAGGCAGAACTGTTATATAATTTAAATCGTAATCCATGCAAAAGTGAGCAATGATATGGCAGTATCTACTGTATTTAACCAGCTTCTAAATAGTAAGATTGACTAGACAAGGGATAACATTTTGTTTGGTCATGTGTCTGACCACTCTCTAAAATAATCTACTACCTTGACTCAGACCTGATTCAGGTGTCATGCATTTTTAGCAATTTAAAAGCATTAAAAGGCATTTTTAAACATTTCAATGTATCACATAGTATTATTAAAATTATGACTATTGAAGGTATTTTACAAAGGTAGAGTTTAGCTCAGCATTGCCCAAGAGAAATATAATGCAGCCACATGTGCAATTTAAAATATCCTAGGATCCTATTTTTTAAAAAAGTAAAAACAAAAAGATAAAATAAAATAAAATTTGATAATATATTTTATTTAACTTGTTAATTAAATAAAAGCTATGATTAAATACCACGGTGTCCATGGAGGATTTGTTCCAGGACCCCATCAGATATCAAACATCCTTGGATGTTCAAGTCCCTTATATAAAATGGCATAGTATTTGCATATAGCCTAAGCACATCATCCTGTATACTTTAAATCATCTCCAGATTACTTGTGATACCTGATATCATGAACGTGCTATGTAAATAGTTGTTATATTGTTTAGGGAATAGTGATAAGATAGAGTCTGTGTATGCTTAGTACAGATGCAGCAATTCTTTTTTTATTAATATTTTTGACTACAATTGGTTGAATCCACATATATGGAGCCAATGGATATAGAGAATCAACTGTGTTAATATATCCAAAACATTATCATTTCAACATGTAAACCATATAAGAAAATCTAATGAGATATTTTACATTCTTTTTTTTTGTACAAATCTTTGAAATCCATAGTATATTTTATACTTAACAAGACATCTCAAATCAAACTAGCCACATTTCAAATGCTCAGTAGCCACCTGTGGCTAGTGACTATACTATTGGACAGTACAGGTGTAAGAATGTACTTTCCCCCCCTAAATCTGACTAAATTGTCAAATTTCAATTGCTTCCTTTTAAAGAAAGAAACCATTAGTACAGAGGTAGCAGAAAGAGCACTAAACCATAAGTCATAAGATTTATTTATTTATTTATTTGAGACAGAGTCTAACTCTGTTGCCCAGGCTAGAGTGCCATGGCATCAGCCTAGCTTACAGCAACCTCAAACTCCTGGGCTCAAAAGCAATCCTCCCGCCTCGGCCTCCTGAATAGCTGGGATTACAGGCATGCGCCATCATACTCGGCTAATTTTTTGTATATATATTTTAGTTGGTCAATTAATTTCTTTTTATTTTTAGTAGAGACGGGGTCTCGCTCAGGCTGGTTTTGAACTCCTAACCTTGAGCGATCCTCCCACCTGGGCCCCCCAGAGTGCTAGGATTACAGGCGTGAGCCACCATGCCTGGCCAAGTCATAAGATTTAGTTTCAACCCCAGCTCTAAGATTTACAGTGTAACATTTAACTCATCATAGAGTCTCTCTAAGTTTCATATTCTAATCTGTAAAAAATAATAAATACTTCAAAGGATTGTTGTGCAAATTAAATGAGACAATAAGTGTGAACATACTTTGTATATTGTAAGGTCTATATAAATATATTTGTACATATATTTCTAGAGCTGGTGATTTCACAGATTAATTCACGTGAAGACTAGGGTTCTTAGATAAGGTGAGTGGGCAATGCACAAATGAGGCCAAGCTGGATGCCCATGGCCTCTTCCCTCTACTCTTGTGACTCAGAGGCCTGCAAAGATGCAAAATCCTAGAGCTCATGTGGGCAATCGGGAGACAATTTTAGAACATGTTTTAATAGCCATACAATATGAATATCATAATCCTGAAACTTACCTTTCTTCTCCTGAAGATTGTAGGTGAGTATCTCTTCTTTCTCCTATCCTCATCACTTTAGGAGTATAGATGGATTGATTACACCTTCTTCCTTCAGTGTCCAGACAGCCACAGCTAACAAGAAGCTCTGACTTTTATTATCAGTTCAGGTATTTTATGTCAGTAGTCCCAAGGGTTTCTGATCTCCTGAGGTACAGACAGCAGCCTGTGTGTATTTGTAAGAACTGTCCCTGAGCTGGCCTATCATTCTTGGCATCTACTATAGATTAGGCATACTGAGAAAGGATTCAAAATGAGTCCCTTCAGGCCGGGCGCAGTGGCTCACGCCTGTAATCCCAGCACTCTGGGAGGCCGAGGTAGGAGGATCACTTGAGCCCAGCAGTTCAAGACCAGCCTGGGCAACATAGTGAGACCTCGCCTCTACAAAAAATAAAATAAAAAAAAAAAAATTAGCTGGGCATGGTGGCAGGAACCTGGCTTGTAGTCCCAGTTACTTGAGTGGCTGAGGCAGGAGGATCACTTGAGCCCAGGAGTTCAAAGTCACAGTGAACTATGATTGGGCCACCGGACAGAGGAAGACCTTGTTTCTGGAAAAAAAAAAAGCTAAAGAAAAGTTCCTTAAGAACCTTGCTATCCAGTGAGACAGATGTATTATCCAGCACATTGCCTGGCCCTGACAAAGTGTTGAATGAATGAAGCACCGCAGGCAGGGCTTGGTATAATAAGCAGTGGGAGCTGAGCTCAGAGATGAAACAGATCACTGCTGTTTACAGCACTAAAGGGTAGATTTTAACTGTGCCTTCAAAGGGCGGGAGGATTCACTGAAGCTGAGAGGATATGAAAGAATATTCAATACATAGATGAAGGCACAAGCAAAAGAACTAAGACGCAGAAAACACAAGGAATATGTAAAGAAGGCTGGGAATGACTGGAGTGTTTCCTGGATAAAAGCAGTCGGTTCAATGTTTCTAGCGCCTAGTCATGGAAGCCAATTGCATCAGGCATGACTCTGAGTCCAGCCCTCCGGGCCCAAGTGATGGCTGTCCAGGACACCTGGCAGAGTGTCCCTGGTGATCTTTGGGTAGGCCATTTGTGTTGCCCTCAAAACAACACAGGCACTTGAAAGTTCTAAGTTTTCAAGGTCAAACAACTAGATTGAGGTGTGGCTTTGGGGAAAATTGTGACATCACTTCAGATTGTCTCATAATCAATTACTGAGTGTCTACTATGTTAAATAGACTAAATTTCTGGAGGTGGAGCCAAGGTAAATAAAACATGATTCTTACTCCATTCGAATTGGAGGGGTATTAAAACATGTTCTAAAGCCAATTTATTTTCTTGCAAAAAGTGCCTTGGTATTGTTCATATTCCCTTAGCTATCCTCCTTAGGCACTGCCCTCTTCTGTAGCCCTGCTTCTACCACACATGTTCATGTGCGGGTCGTCCTTGCTCTTGGGGAGCCTATTGAGACAGGGAAGAGTTTCTCACTCATCACTGCATCCCTAGGGCCTAGCACAATGCCTGGAATGTAGTTGAATTTAGTATTTTCAGTGTCCTCCTCATCCCCATCAGGCATCTAATTCAATCAGAATACTTTGTTCTCTCCTGTCTGGAAAATCATGATTTGAAAAACCTATGAAAATAGGCTTACAGAGGAGGATTTTCATTTACTAGATAAATTACACAATGAGATCGATTCTTTACCAAAAGAAATCAGCCATGAATGATGGGGTTTATGGTATTAGAAGAATAGATGATTATGGCACAGTATTCCTGCTCATCCCTAAAATCAAATGTAGATAATTGTCCATTCTACCTCTACTTGTCCTAACAAGCTTACTGCATAGAGGTCTACTGGAGTCAAGTATTTTAAACACAAAACTGCAACTATAGTCAAGATACCTATGATCAGCCTATGAATTACACATATTGTGAATAATGTTTAGTGAAACAGATTCCAGATCAGCCTGTTATGGTCATGCGTGTGTGTTACTGCCTCATCATGCAAATAGTTTATTTTAGAATTTAAAATTGTGTGTAATTTGCTACACAAATATCACAATGGAGGGCATCTGATTGCAAACAAACAAACAAAACCCCAACAAATTAAAAAACGCCATCCAAAAGCAAAGAGAAATACTCGGATTTCCTGTTATTTTTCTTTGTTAATGTGGATAAGTCAAAGTTGACTTAGCTAAAGCAGTCTTATTATAGTTATGCTAGGAGTTCCTCTCAATGTGTAGAGAGAACTTTCTGGTCAGAAATGAGAAAATTACAAAGTCACACGAGCTAGTAGAAAGCTGGGGGAACTAGAGAGGTGGTTTCATGTGGTTGTTGCTGTCTGGGTTTTTGTTTGCTTGTTTGTTTTTACTTTGTAATCCTTGAGGGGCCTTCTGAGGCTTTCGACTGGAGTGTTCAGGTTTGGGAAGAACCACTAACCCACTGGCTTCCTTCTACCACTCTCACTATCACCATCCTAAGTCCTGGAAAGCAACCCCCAACCAGAGAGAGGCACTGCTCTGCCCCTTTCCAATTGCACACTGTCACCATCTCCGCCAAGCAGTCTTGGCCTTGGCGGCAGCTCCCTGGATTAGTTCTAATGTAGGTGCAGTGAAGAGATCATTCCTACAGGTCTTCTGTGCTGTGCTTTCCTAGATGTTTTATCCAAGAAATGCTGGTGGTGCAGCAGTGTCTTACAGAGATGTGTATTGAAAGTAATTTATTTTTGTTTTTTGTTCCCTCAAGTACCCTGAAAATGCAAAGTGAGGTGGGATCAGTACGAATCTCAGTGAAACCCTCCATGCTGCTCTCAGCTGTCATACCCCTCTGAGGGTGGATATGACTTATTTTACTGGATCAAACTCATCAGATCAAGTTCCTGCTTTCTCTCCATTTGAATTCTTCAAGAATTCCTTGGTCTTGATGTAAACAGAATCTTAAACGTGGCATGTCCAGATATGTTTGATCAGCCCACCTATCTGCCGGCACATCTATGTAAACACACACGCATGCACCCCAGCGGGGAAGGAAAGGCAAAAGGAATTGACATTTCTTGTGTACTAATCCAGACATTTTGTAAACATTATCTCTTTTAGTGGCAGTAACTACTCAGTGAGATAAACTTATAGTTCCATAGTTTTATTGGTGATACTGCCAGAGCTCAGGGCGATCATGATATTTGTTCAAGGCCACACAGCGAGCAAGTGGTAAAGCCAAGATGCAAATCTAGGTATGCCTCACACAAGAGTCCATGCCTTGCTGCCCCAAGAGGAAAGCAGGCAGGAAGATGGTTGCTTATATTTGGAGACAAAGAGAAGTTATACTGTCATTCTGGATGACTTAGCACAGACCACAAAATTTGAAAAGCAAACACAGATTTGGGGCAAAGGCTCTGCCCAGTAACAAAGTTAGCACACTTAGCTAAGGAAGTATCTGCTAGTCTTTTTATCACTGACATCTCCAAGAAATGATGCACCAAACTTAAAAGTTTGCAGAGATATTCAAATGATTCATGAAGAGAAGCCCCAGAAACCAAAGACTCTCTACATTGAGAGATCTTGGACTTGTGTATCCTTTGTCTCAAAGAACTTGAGCATTGGGGAACGATCCTAAAAGGATAAGGAACATCTCTAAAAACTAAGTACCACAGCATGTCCCTACATCCTGGGTGCCAGGCTATCAGTGCTATTGCTGGAAAAGATTCTTAAATGTTAGTGTGCTAAAAAAAAGCATCCAGGGCACCTGGTAAACACAGGCTCCACCTCCAACCCCCCAAGAGTCTGATTCTGTAAATCTGCAGTCAGAAAAAGGAATCTTTAATTTCAATAAGCATTCTGGAGAGTTGCATAAATAAGAAATACTGCAATGTGGCAAAACACCACAATCCAGTTCTGCACATCAAGGAATCCTGTCCTAATGATGCATGCCCACACCTTGGGAAGATATTCTGATAAAGAAGAGAACAGGGAAGCCAAGTGGCATAGAAAACCATATGATTGGAAATATAGACATATACCACAAACATATGCTGTATAGATACTGTCCACCCATAAACACCATAATCATTACCTTCACTAAGGCTCAGGTTTCATGTTGACTTTTTGTCAACTGGTATCATGTTGACTTTTTGTGCCTTTCCCTTCAGGAAGATGTTAGAAGTAACTGTTTCAGATACAGGGAATATGATATAGTATTGCTTTGGACACATGTTCCTTGGGCAGGAATTAGACTATTCAGGTCTCAGATAGTGAGGACTGCCAGTATATGGCCTCTCGACTCCAAGCTGGAGAATATCTCTGGTGTAATAGGGAGAGGTAGACACTATCCTTTCACTTTGAAGTACAGTCATGCATTGTTTAATGATGGGAATCCATTCTGAGAAATGAGTCCTTAGGCAATTTCATCATTGTGCTAACATTGTAGAGTGTGCTTTACACAAGCCTAAATGGTATAGCCTACTACACACTGAGGCTATGTGGTACAGGACTATTGCTCCTGGGATACAAATGTGTACAGCATGTTACTTTACTGAATACTGTAAGCAACTGTAATGCAATGGTAATTATTTGTATATCTAAACATACCTAAACATTTAAAAAGTACAGTAAAAATACAGTATTATAATCTATGGGACCACCGTCCTACATGCATGCCATGGTTGACCCAAACCTCATGATGCAGCTTGTGACTGTAAAACAAACCAAGTATCCAGGTGATAGTTCCAGAAAAAAATACAATTAAAGACTACTCATGAAATCTCAGCCCTTAGGGACAGAGGTTCAGAAGTTTATTGCAACTTATTAGTCTTTCCAGTTCCTGCAATTATTGTTTGGATCACAGAGGTACCTAATCAGGCTGCTAAGTGACATGGACTGATAATAATGATTCATTTTCCTTTATGGTCTCCAGAGTTTGTGTTGTTTATAAAAAAGTTTTAATTGCCACAGATGGGACTATGCTCAATTATTTGCAAGTGAATCCTGTAATCATTAATGGTATAATATTATGACTTCTACTTTCCAATGTTCCTATAGGTGGGACAACATTTGTATGTGTGTATATAGTCCCAAGTAGATCTCAGATTTAAAAATTATCCCTGAACATTTTATGGATTTCCAAAATAAGGCTGACATGATTTATGATTCAAGTTGTACATTTCTCTTGTAGAACTTATTAATCTAACAACTAAATATGTGGATAGAGCAGATGTTCAGAAAGAGAGAGAGAATGCAAGCATGGACTTTGCATTTTTCAGATTTATCAAGGTCCATATCTGTTATTTATTAGTAGTATGTGGTCTTTTGACAAGTTATCTACCTCCCTAAGCCAAGCTTTCTTTACTTTTTAATTTTTGTTGAGATGTAATAATTGTGCATTTTTATGGGATACAGAGTGATATTTTGATATGTGTATATAGTGTATGATGATCAAATCAGGATAATTAGCATATTCATCATCTCAAACATTTATCACTTCTTTGTGTTGTGAACAGTCACAATTTTCTCTGCTACCTTTTTGAAAATACACAATAAATTATAGTTAACCATATTTCCCCTACAGTGCTGCAGAACACCAGATCTCATTCCTCCTATACAGCTGTAATTTTGTATCCACTGGCCAACCTCCTTCCCTGCTCTTCTCTCCTCTACTTTTTCCAGCTTTTAATGCCCACAATTCTACTTTCTACTTTCCTGGGCTCTAAATAATTTTTTAGCTCCCATATATGGGTGAGAACATGCACTATTTATCTTTCCATGCCTGATTTATTTTGCTTAACATAATATCCTTCAGTCTCATTCATGTCACTGTGAATGACAGAATTTCATTCTTTTTTAAGGCCGAATAGTATTCCATTGTGTATATATACCACATTTTCTTCATTCATCTGTTGATAGACATTTAGGTTGACGCCATACCTGGTAGCTATTCTGAGTAGTGCTGCAATAAACACAGGGTTTCAGGTATTCCCTTAATAAACTGATTTCCTTTCCTTTGTATAAATACTCAGTGGTAGGATTACTGGATTGTGTGCTAGTTCTAATTCTAGTCTAGGGGAACTGCTTCAGGGCATTGGTCTAGGCAAAGGTTTTATGTCTAAGACTTCAAAAGCACAGGCAACAAAAACAAAAGTTGACAATGGTACTGTATTAAACTGAAAAGCTTCTGCATGGTAATGGAAATAGTTTTTTGAAGAATCTTCATACTGTTTCCATAAGGGCTGCAGTAATTTACATTCCCACCAACAGTGTTCCCTTTTCTCTGCATCTTCACTAGCATTTATTATTTGTTGTCTTTTTGATAATAGCCATTCTCATTGGGGTGAGATGGTATCTCATTGTGCTTTTGATTATATTTCCACGATGATTAGTGAGATTGAGCATTTTTCCATGCTTGCTTTTGGGCATTAGTATGTCTTCTTTTGAGAAATGTCTATTTAGTTCCTTTGTCCATTTTTAATGGGATTATTTGGATTTCCGCTATCGAGTTGAGCACCTTATATATTCTGGATATTAGGCCCTTGTCCAATGAATAGGTTGCAAATATTTTCTCCCATGTTATAGATTGTCTCTTCACTTTGTTGACTATTTCCATTACTGTGCAGAAGCTTTTCAGTTTATTACAGTACCAATGTCAACTTTTGTTTTTGTTGCCTGTGCTTTTAAAGTCTTAGACATAAAACCTTTGCCTGTCCTGAAGCAGTTCCCCTAGGTTTTCTTCTAGTAGTGTTATTATAGTTTTAGGTATTATGTTTAAATGTTTAATGCATCTTGAGTTGATGTTTGCATATGATGAAATATAGGGGTCTAGTCTCATTCTTCTGCATATGGAAATCCAGTTTTCCCAGCACTATTTATTGAAGACTGTGTCCTTTCCCCAACTTATGTTCTTGGTGCCTTTGTTGAAAATCAATTGGCTGTAAAAATATGGATTTATTTCTGGGTTCATTATTCTGTTCCATTGGTCTATGTACTTGTTTTTGTCAAGGTTTTCCTACTGATAAGGTAGATATAATTCTAACTGTTGTTCTGTTTCGATACTAGAGGTTTTTTGAAGATCAAATAAGAAATATATACAGAAGTAGATATAAAATATAAAGGGTTTCATATATGTTTGTTGCTATTAATAGTGTAATTGGGAGTCTGGGATGTGAAGAGGAAGAAGAAAGTAGCTGAAGATAAGGTTCCTATTGAAAAAAAAATAATATCAAAAAGTCAGAATTAATGATACCTAACACACAAAAAAGGGTACCCAATAGGAAAAGGGAATAGAAAAACACTCTCTTAGACTGAGAACCTGGGAAGCCACACAAATCTCTATTCAACCTCCTCTGTTGCTTTGCCTCCATTATTGCTAGAAAAAGTCAACATTCATAGAAAGTCAAAACACAGCATCCATACTATAGATAGTACTAAGATACTATAATTTTCAAAAGAGAAGATAAAAATCAAAAATTCTGGGCAGATGATAGAACATACACATACTTGCAGAGACAGCTAATGGGGTAAAAAAATAAACAGCCATTGAAACAGAGAAAAACTATAACATGAAACCAACATGAATTTTAAAAATGTATGTAGATGACCAATTTTCATATGAAAAGATTCTCTATGTTATTAGTCATCAGGAAAATACAAATTGAAATCAAAATGACCTACTGCAAGACATCTATGAGGATAGTTGATACCGAAAAGACTAACAATAGGGTACTGATGAGGATACGGAACAACTGAAAATCACAAACATTGCCATAGGGAATACCAAATGGTACAGCCACTTTGGAAAACAGTTTAACACTTTCTAATAAAGCTAAAAATATACATGCCATACAATTTCACTCCTAGGTATTTACCCATGTGAAATGACAACCTATATACTAAAGACCATAGCAGCTTTATTCAAGATAGTCAAAAGCTGGAAAAAGTAAAAATGTCTATTTATGGGAGAATGAATAAGCAAATTGTGATATAATCATCCAATGCAATTACATTCAGCAATATAAAATAATGGACTTCTGATATAACCAACAACATGAATAGCTGTGCATGGTGGCATGTAATTGTAGTCCTATTTATTGGGGAGGCTGAGGCAGGAGGATCGCTTGAGCCCAGGAGTTCAAGGCTGCAGTGAGCTGTGATCACACCACTGTACTCCAGCCTGGGTGACAGAGCAAGACCCCATCTCTTAAAGATAAAAAAAAAAAAAGCAAAATTGAAATAAAAAGGAAAAGAAAATAATGAAGATAAAAGCTTAAAGTAATGAACTATAATATTGTAAATAATATTTTGAAATGAATAAATACATAAATAACTGGATCTTGAAAAGACCAAAACTTCCAACCTTCTAATAAACCAGATGAAGACCAAAAAATGAAAGGGCAAGTGAATCTATGTCAAAAAAATGCTTATCTTCTAGTGACACAAATAAATAGTAAATATTTACAACTGGTATGTCTGAGATTTGGTTCAGAATAATTTGGAGGATGATCTTTGAAGATGAATGAAAGATACATGGAGATTCATTATACTATTCTCTAGTTTTTAAAATTACACTTTCCCCCTTGAAGCTACAATTCTACTTTTCTTTTTCCCTTTATCATTACTCACTGAATGTAGTCATTTGTTTTAAAAAAAGAAAAACATGGTCTCAGCTTCTATTTCTCCCATCATTTACTGAAAATGCTATGGCCCAAATCACCAATGACATTCTAATGGCCAAATTCAGTAACCTATGTTCAGCTTCCACCTAATTTGATTTCTCTGCAGCATTAGAAATCATTGCTCAATCTCTCCTCAAAACTATAGCAATTCTTTTTAATTCCTCGGCAGCATTTATATTTCTTTGCCATGTGTCTGATCATTTCTTCTTTGCACTTTCTCATCAGGCCTGGTGTTTCTCCAGAACTTCCTTGTCTGTCTCTCGTCACATTCTGTGTGATATTACTGCAGGGTAACATACACACCTAGGTTTCAGTTGCCACCTCAAGGCTAGTAATCCCCTAATATGTCACCAAAAATTTAGTTTCAAAACTAAATTATGAATTTATGAACTTCCTCTTCACCTCCCATATTTTAGATCTTACTAAATGGCATCTTTGACTACCTTTCTGGCTAGGTGAAAACTTAATTTCTTCTTTGATCTGTATCTCACTTTGCCCTCACATACTATGTATTTGTCTAGTTTGGCTACATCTTTGAATCTTTACTGCCGCTACTTGTTAAAACTAGAATGAGACATAAATCTTTCAACCCAGAAATCCTGCTCTTAAGAATCTATGGCAGAAGAGACCGGGTGCGTTCAGGGTGGTATAGCCCTAGACGATGACACTCTACAAAAAAGACACCTGCACTCGAATGTTTATAGCAGCACAATTCATAATTGCAAAGCCGTGGAAACAACCCAAGTGCTCATCAATTCATGAGTGGATTAATAAAATGCAGTATATGTGTACCATGGAGTACTATTCAGCTCTAAGAAACAACGGTGATATAGCACCTCTTGTATTTTCCTGGATGGAGCTGGAACCCATACTACTAAGTGAAGTATCCCAAGAATGGAAAAACAAGCACCACATATACTCACCAGCAAACTGGTATTAACTGAGCAGCACCTAAGTGGACACATAGGAACTACATTAATTTGGCATTGGGCTGGTGGGAGGGGGGAGGAGGTGGGTATTTACATACATAATGAGTGAGATGTGCACTGTCTGGAGGATGGCAATGCTTGAAGCTCAGACTTGTTGGGGGAGGGGGGGCTAGGGCATTTTTTGAAACCTTAAAATTTGTATCCCCATAATATGCTGAAATTAAAAAAAAGAATCTATGGCATAGAAATATGATCATCAACATAAAAGAACATAATGAGTTGTATGCCCTTTCGGTCCTTCCACTGCACTAGGCCCCAGGGTCAAGGGTCAAACCATAGATGATTCTATGGCAGTTGGCAGCCCTAAGGACAAGCTGGCCCTGATATGGGCATAGTGAAGGGTGGGTGTTCATTCCCACAACTGCCAGGGGTGTTGACTGCAGAGGCATGAAGTTTCTGAGAGACTCAGGAATTGCCTTTGAGACAGAAGGGGGATGCCATCTCAGGGGCAGCCTGCACTCAGTGACAAATTGATGCTCGTGTAAAGACTGAGGTTTCTTGCTTCTATTCAGGATGACTCTGAAGGACCATCCCAGATCAGAGCTCCTGGGGGAGTCAGCTAACGTTTCTTCTGTTGTAACTACATCTCAGTTCAACTTCTTCTCGAACCTGCTTCTCTTAAACACTGACATGTGTGGTTGCCAGAAATGCTTCCCTAAAACTCCTGTTGCACAAACTTCAGCCTCAGTCTTTTCCGTGGGAACCCCAATTAATACTATGATAATTGCTAACAAGTCATTCTCTATGTGCCAGGAACTCTTTCAAGTGCTTTATGTCTCCAAACTTATTTAAATTGTACAAAACTCTTCTATCTAGAAGGAAGCATTGTTATCTCTTAAGATTACACAGCTGCTGAATGGTAAAGTCAGGACTTAAACCAAGGATCCTCGGTCCATTTTTCTTAACCATAAAGCCTCCCTTGTAAGATTATATATATTGCTGAGCATTATTTTTAAAACGTGAAAAGATAAAATACAGGGGCAGGGCATGGTGGCTCACACCTGTAATCCCAGAACTTTGGGAGGTCAAGGCAGGAGGATCACTTGAGGCCAGGAATTCAAGACTAGCCTGAGCAAGAGCAAGAGCAAGACTCTGTCTCTACAAAAAATACAGCAAATAGCTGCACATGGTGGTGTGTGCCTGTAGTCTCAGCTACTTGGGAGGCTGAGGCAGGAGGATCGTTTGAGCCCAGGGGTTTGAGGCTGCAGTGAGCCATGATGAGGTGATTGTACTCCAGCCTGGGTGACAGAGTAAGACACTGTGTCAACAAAACAAAGCAAAACAAAAAAAACAAACAAAAAAACCAAAACACCTGGCGAGGAGGCTCACGCCTGTAATCCTAGCACTCTGGGAGGCCGAGGTGGGCGATTGCTCCAGGTCAGGAGTTCAAAGCCAGCCTGAGCAAGAGCAAGACCCAGTCTCTACTATAAATAGAAAGAAATTAATTGACTACTAATATATATAGAAAAAAATTAGTCGGGCACGGTGGCACATGCCTGTAGTCCCAGCTACTCGGGAGGCTGAGGCAGTAGGATCACTTGGGCCCAGGAGTTTGAGGTTGCTGCTAGCTAGGCTGACACCACGGCACTCACTCTAGCCTGGGCAACAAAGTGAGACTCTGTCTCAAAAAAAAAAAAAAAGAAAATATAATAATATAAAAAAATGTGTAGAGAGATCTGGAACAGAGAGAGCTTGGTGTGTTTGAGGTTATGAGAAAAGTTCATTTTGGTCCAAGGAAAGTGGCCTATAAGGAGGTCCAAGAAATAGGCAGAGGGATGCCTTCAGAGATGGCTTTCATCTTAGATTTAGTAAAAGGCATTTTTTTTTTTAAGATTTCAGTAAAAGTTCTCTGGGTCTGAGCCTGGTGCCTACCATGGTTGCCTGTTCAAGGAATCTGAAAAATGTTTTGTTTGCCAAATTACAAAGGCAATTCTGATTAGAAATGATTGCCTGTGCCTTACAAATGATATTGGACTACAGTGGCTCAGTGTGTCAGGCCAATTCTTCAGCTCCTGGGCCCTGGCTTATTTCCTGGAGGACTGCCTAACTAAACTTATTGGGCCCTCCCCATGAGGACTTAAGTTGCTTTAAAACAACTTACATTTTGAATGGTCGTTCCCTTTTGTGGTGCCTGCTAGCTGACCATTCATCTCAATCATCTTGAAATCCTTTTCCTCTCCACCAACACCTACCAAATGTCAACTAATCCTGAAGCATATAATTCCAACTCAAAAATTGGACCTCTTTAGTCATGCATGTCTAACTTCTTTTAAGGCTTCTAAAACCCTCTGTCACTGCACTAGGCCCCAGTGCCAACAGTCAAACCAACAGACGATTTCATGGCAGTTGGGAGTACTGACAGCAGGCTGGCCCTAGTGATATAGGAGTGGTGAAGGGTGGGGGTTATCTCCTCTGTTCCATAGGCTACTTCAGCTTCTGCCACTGTCATGTCTCAGCAATCACTAAAATTCCAGATTTTTTTCCTTTTCCTGTGACTAATCAAATCAAAGAAGAGACATGAAATATTAGTGGTGGTCTCAGCTAGAAATCCCCATCCACAATGTTTCATTTATCACACAGAAGTACCCAGGCCATGAAAACACTCTTCTCCTCCTGGAACATAATTGTGTTCATAGTAGGAATCATCATAAATGAATGGGTTGAATTGACTTCAGAAAGAAAAAATACCAAGATAAGCCACAGTCCATGGATGGCGTGTTGCACTAAGGTTTGGCCAGAAGGTCAGAACTATACCATAGAAAGCGATGGGTGGAGAGAATGGATTCCTCTTTCCTAGACTTGTCACTCATCTCTCACCAGCTTGCCTGTTATTCCCTGATACAACTTACTCAAACTGCAGTGTGCTCACTTCCATAAAAATCACAGTCAGGACAGACTCCAAAATCTTACCATTTGGACGTCTGGGAGAAAAGTTTATCAGTTCACAGACTTAGTTGCTAGACGTTTGAGAAGTCCTGGCAGTTGGAGCATGGTGGTACAGGCACAGGCAGAACTTGAGGTGCATGAAAGAAAGGTAACTGGCAGCTAGTAAATGTCACTGGAAGCGGACAGGGTGAATTGACATATTTAACAAGAAATCAGTTCTGTGAAAAGAAAAGAAGAAAAAAAAAAGCTTATACAGACACCAAGATAAAGAACAATTTCTTCTTGTTCTCTCATTCAGCTAAAGGTTCCCTAACTCTTTAATCTTTTCCACCTTGTTTTTTTATTATTTGATCAATCTTTTCATCCTATTCCCATTTTTACCTAAATATTTGTGGACTCCAGGTAGAAACGAGCCTGGAAGAAATATCTGTCTTTCTCTCAATGCAGCTTCTGCTTTCCAACAGATGCCCTGGAAATCATCAGGATTATGATGATTTTGGTCCTCAACCTCTCCTTCATCCTTAACTTGACTTTTGGTTTGGAATCCACCTATATAATTCCACAAAATAGATATATCAACATCATCACTGTCTGCCTCAGTTTCCTCTCAGGTAACCTCCTGGCTCCCCTGACATAGGTGGGGAGGTGTCCTTGGTTTGTGGGTTCAGGCTGCACTGTCTGGCCTTCCCATTTCTCTGACTCAGATGTAGGTAGATAGACAGATAGATACAGACATAGAGATGTAGATATAGACAGATATAGATAGATATAAGTAGCTTCTGACTTAGATCTACCACTAAAGACAGGATCAGTCTTTGGATAAGGTGCAGCTGCACAGGGTGGAGGTTGGGAAGTCAAGTGTACTTTGGATGAATACTTGAGTAATGGAGCCAAAGTTCCCTAGAAGGGGCTCTTTTCTCCTTTTGTCTGTTCATCAGGTACCCTTCTGTTTTGCGTACTCCTACTGTACTACGTGAAGCTGTGGCAAGGTCAATCCTTGTACCGCTTTAGTTTCAGAATCAGCTGGATCAATTTCACTGGCTACATAAATGTTTTCTTTCTTTTTGTTTGTGGTGAGTATCTCCACGGCCCTTGAAGGATGCTAAGAATCAATCTACCCCTGTCAGAGGGTAGGGTAAAAGGACAGCATAGGGAAATGGAAGAAAAGGTGCCAAACCTTGCGTTTTAATAGGCTACAGCTCACCTGGACTCATTCTCTAAGGACAGTTCCTCCAAGGAGAGAGCTGGGGCTGGTGTGAGGTATCTACTGTGCCTGCCCCAGAGGCCAGCTCCTCATCCCCACCTCTTCTTCTGTGTTTCACACCCTTCCGCCTTAGGGCAGAGATAACCATCAAAGTCACAATCAAAGGAGAGCGGCTGAGACAGAATGCTCAATTACAAGGACAGGGGCAGTGATCCCGGAACCATGTAATGCCAAGGCAGTTTGAGAGTAGTGAGAAACAATATCTGATGCTAAATGACCACCTGCCAACACCAGAAACCCTCCCTTCCTAAGAAGTTTTTAAAATTTCATTTGTAATTCCACTTCCTAACCCATATAGAAACATGTTCTCTTTCAAAAAGAATCCCCAGTTTTCCTGAGCTGAGTAGCATGTAAACTACCGTGCACACGCTTTGAGTTTTCTCCACTAAAGCATTCCCCTCCCAGGTGGCTTTGGGTAGTTGAAAGGGATCCACTAGGTTTTGGGTCAGGGTCTTCTGCCAACATGGAGGGAAACATTCCTGTGACTCTCCATTGTTCCTTCATCCTACCCTCTGGCATGTCTTTTCCTCAGGAATCCTCTCTGTCCTACAGCACAGGCAGTACTATAGCTGTTCCTGCCTGAAAACTCATAAATCTGGCATAAAAAGTAAGGAATCTGATATTTCCATCAAAGTTATTGCACTACCAGAACACACTGCAATACCTCGTAGCATTGTCCGTTCACACTCCTTGGATGATTCAGAGGAAGATGTTCCCAACAAATCACAAATCCAAACCCGTCGTGTAACCTGGGCTCTGTGATTTGACCACCTGTATCTTCCAACTTACGCTCATCTTTCCAAGAAAGTTTTTTTTGTGTGTGTGTCTCTGTGTGTTTTTGTGTGGATGTTGTATGTATCTCCAACCTTTTGTCTGTGTTTGGCATTATGTAAATGTCTGTGAAGGGGTTGGGGTCAATAAAAAGATCCAGAAGATGGCTTTTTTTTAAAATCCTGGCTTGCTGAATATTTTCTTCTACATTGGTTATTAATATAATAAATATTATCATATAAATAATGCTGCTTTATTGTCAACTCTATACATCACAAAGATTTATAGGATATATAATACCTTTTATTTTATTGTGAAATATTTCAAAGGTACAGAAAAGAACACAAAACAATATGATTAAACACATGTGTTCACGTCACCCAATTATATAAAATTTTAACATTATGCCCTATTTCATTTAGAAGTCTTTCAATTAAATTGATAGATGTAACTGAAGTTCTTCTAAAAATTTCCCTAATGTGATTCCTCTCTCTTGTTTTCCATCATAAAGCACTTTCAAGGATGCATTGCTGATCATTTTACATTTATGTTGACATTTTCATGACAACATTACACATCTATAAAAATTATATAGACTAGCTTTCCAAGTGTTTGAAAGTTAGTAAATATTATGCTATTTACTAAATGGTTGTTTTTGCGAATTTGCTTTGTTTGCTAAACTCATTTTTTCTGGGGGGGGGGATTCACTGGTAAGTTTAGCTCTATATCATTCACTTAAACTACTGTTAGGCATTCCTGTATAAAGATACAATGTAAAATATTCATTGTCCCATTGATAGACAGATAGTTGTTTCCTTTTATTCTGTTACAATGATGCTCTGAGTATTCTTATAAATACATAGCTCCTTTGGTCCATGAGATACAGTTTCTCCCATATTTATCTAGGACTGGAATTGCAGGATCAGAGAATATATATATTTGAAGTTGCTTTAATATTGAGAAAATCATCTCAAAGATGGTTGTCCCAATTTACACTCTTGCCAGAAGTGTGTGAAAGTTATGGTTTCCTTTGGCCTTGCCAACACTTTTGTGATCACCCTTGTTAATCTTTGACTATTTGAATTATTACTGAGTTTGCACATCTTATCTCATTCAATTATTGAGCATCTAGAGTTCTTCTCTGCATTACTGTGTGGCCATTTCCCTAAGGGATTGTCTATTTCTTATTGGTTTGTAGGTCTTCTTATATATTGGAAACAGATACTAATTTGTTACATGCATTGAAAATACATTTCCAAGAATTTAAATTCAAGAATTTTGAGGCTGTGTTTGGCTTTTAACTGTTTTATGATCTTTTTACTGACCCCAACTATTAATGATGTCTTTTTGTTTTACAGAAATATTCTTACAAAATATAATGATGAAATGTACCAACTTTTTCCTTTTAATTGGTGCTTTCTTAAGAAATCCCTACTTTTTACTTTCACTAGAAATAATCCTTGTGATTTACATAAGGAATCAATTCAATTTTATCTACCTTCCATAAAGATAACTATTTATCCAGAACATTTTATGGCGTAATTCCTTTCCCTATTGATATACAATACAGATGCCATCATATATCAAATATACATTCCTATAAATCTGTTTTTGATCTTTCTAGTATACTCTGTTAGTATATTTTTATGGCCCTGCACCATATTACACTTCTAATTATTTTGTAGTAAGAGTAACTGCTGATATGTAATAGGCCCAAGTCCTTGTTCTTGTTCAAAATTATCTTGATTTTCCTGGCCTTTTGATCTCCATATAAATAGCAGGATCAGCTTGTATGGTTCCACAAAAATATCAGTTATTATTTCATTCAGAATTAGCTTATTAACTCATTTGATAATAGTTGAGAATTGACAATAAATTTAATATTTATCTCATACATAAATATAATAACATTTACTTGGCTCTTCATTTATATCTGTCAATAATGTTTCATGATTTTTTTCCAGAAAGATCATTTGCTAAGTTGATTCATAGGTGACTTATAGTTTTATACTTTTGTGAATTGAAATATTTTATAATATTTTCTAGTTGTTTATTACCATGTAAACTTGTTGATTTTTATATTCAGATACTTTACAAAAATCTTATCTTGGTTTTAATAATTTTAATGAGATTCTCTTAGATTATCCTTGGAGGAAAACATATTGTCTGTAGAAAAGGAAAGGTGCATTCCTCCCAATTCTCATATCACTTGTTTCTTTTCGGTTGTGTTGTTTTATTCATTGACTCAGATCTTCAGGATAAGGTTGAACATGGAAAAAAATTCTTTTTTTAAATTTTGCTGAGAATACCTCTATAGTTCCAACATTTGATATTATACACACTGTAGAATTTGTCATAATTACCTCATCAGGTTAAAGGACTTCCCCTTTATATGTAATTTACTGAGTGTATTTACAAAAAGAAATATTTAATTTTGTTGAATATTTTTATGCAGCTATCAAAACATCAATTGATTTTTCCCACTCTAATAATAGATGCCTCGTAAACTGTAATGGGTAGAAATTTTTCTGTATTTTACCATAAAATATTTAAAAAACAAAATAAGCACGTATGTACTCATTGCTCAACCTTACAAAATCTTAGCATTATGCCCTATTTGTTTAAACTTGGTTTTGTTCTTTTGTAACTTTTTAATTTAATTTTTTTTTTTTTTTTTTACAAACCCTTGTATGAAGGATTGACTTTCAGTGAAAGATCACAGGAAGGGAGTTACTGTTCTGCATACATATGAAACCCTGACCCAGAAGCAGATGGTCTACAATGGTTTAGCACTAAGTTCTCCATGAACATGCACTGAATGACAGGCTAGGGGGCAGCCACATTTCTGACCATGCCCCACTTCCCAAGACAAGGGGTTGTTTTAAGTTTTTTCAGAGATGGGATCTCGTTGTGTTGTCCAGGCCTACAATTCTTGGCCTCAAGTGATCTCCACATCCCTACTCCTGCCTTCCAAAGTGCTGGGGTTACAAGTATGAGTCATCTGCTCAGCCAAGTTGTATTCAATTAAAGTTACAAACTCATCCAATGTTGCTTTACAAATTTCCCCAAACTCATTTTCCTCCCTTGTTTTCTGATCATTAAACCCTTTGCATAACTGAGGAAATCCCTGTTTAATCATATTGTATTTGTTTTAACAAATGCTGCAATGAATCTTTTATCATTTTAGAATTCTTGAATCTACATGCATTAAGTAAAATTTGGCTATAATTTTTCCTTTTCCACTCTTCTTATACATTTTATTTTTATGGTTTTATTTTGCTTTGGAAGAAAGTTTGAGTAAAATTTTTTGAAATAACATTCATACAGAGAAATGCACAAATGATAAAAAATACAACCCTTGGGATGTTCCTAAATAGAACACAACTGTGTAAACAGCACCCAAATAAACAGAATATTCATGGCCCCCCAGAAGTGTCCTTCATGCCATTAAAATACAAAGGCATTCACTATATGATTTCAAAAACTATAGAGTGATTTTTGCCTGATTTTAAGTTTTATATATATAAATGAAATCATTCAGTTCATACTCTTTGTGCCTACCTTTCTTCATACAAAATTATGTCTGTGAGAACGATTAATGTTGTATGTGGTAATAGTTCATTCATTGTCATTGTTACATAAAATTCTGTTGTAAGAATATACCATGTTATATTTTCCATTATATTGTCATGTACATTAGGTGTTTTTCCAGTTTGGGACTATGAACATACTTGTACATATTTTTTCATGGACATACATAAATAATTTTGTTGGTCATTTACCTACGAGAGAATTGGTTAGCCACAGGTTAGCAATGTTCACATTCAAATTTGGGATATTCCCAAATGATTATTCATAGTGGTTGCACCAATTCACACTCCCATCACCAATGTACAAGGGTTACAAAAGCCCCACATACTTGACAGCACTCAATGTTGTCTGTCTTTTCCATTTTTGCTGAGCACAACAGTATGGTATTATGATTTTAATTTTCATTTCCCAGATAACTAATGAAGTTGAACAATTTTTATGTGTTTATTGGCCACTTGGATGTATTTTTTGAGTGTTCAAATATTTTCCCATTTATCTATTGAATTGTATGTCTTTTTATTATTCTCTAGATATAAGTCTGTTGTCAAATATATACATATATATGGCAAATATCTTCTTCCACTCTATAGCTTGCCTTTTTCTCACAATGGGGCCATTAATGAACAGATGTTTTTATTTTGCTGTAATCCAATGTATCAATTGTTTCCCTTTATTCATAGGATTTTTGTATTCCATTAAAAAAAAACTTTTCCTACACCAAGGAAAAAGTCATGAAGATATTCTATGCTTTCCTCTAAAAACTTATTTTGACTCTTTCTATTTAGAACTTAAATTAATCTATAATTGATTGTTATGTATGCTATAAGATAGCAGATTTTTTAACAGATAACCAATTGAGCCAATATTATTTATTAAAAAATATTTCTTTACTTCACCGTGGAATCATATTTATCATAAATCAAGTGACCATATCTGTATAAATCTCTTTTTGGACTTTTCCCTTTAGGTGAAGGGTGGGGCCTATCCTAATGCCAATACTTCTTTTCGTTAATTTCACTTTATTTTTTATTTTTTTTTAGAGATAGGGTCTTGCTCTGTCATCTAGGCTGGAGTGCAGTGGCTGGATCATAGCTCACTGTAACGTTGAACTCCTGGGCTCAAGGGAGCCTCCTGCTTCAGCCTCATGGGTAGCTGGAACTATAGGTGCACCATGCTTGGCTAATTTTGTTTATTCCTTGTAGAGACAGGAGCCTCTCTATGTTGCCCAGGCTGGTCTCAAACTCTTGATCTCAAGCAATCCTCCCACTTAGTCCTCCCAAAGTGTTGGGATTGTAGGCTACAGGAGTGAACTACCACACCTGATCTAATTCCTAAAGCTTAATACTTAATTTCTGGCAAGGTAAATTCTTTAGCTTTGTCTTTCAAGAATTCCTTGGCTGTTTTTGAAACTCTGAATTTCCATATATTAATACATTTTGGAATTAATTTGTCAGATTCCACAAGAAAATTTGTTACAATTAGAATTGTATTAAATCTACACATCCATTTGGAAAGAAATGACATCCTTACAATATTAAATTTTTCTATCAATCAAAAGAAATATTAAAGATATAGGTAATCTACATCTA